GCTGGGCGCTGTAGGTGGTAGGTAGTAGAGTGGGGAGAGACACTGGCGAAGGCCAGTGGTACGTACCTGTGGCGCCATCGCTCCAGCTCCATCTTCGAGGTACCTGCATCAAGGCGCCAACTTCACAGGTTAGTACTAGAGAGAGAGAGAGAGAGAGAGTTCTTCTTCCTCTTCTTCTCAGTCCACCATCTCGTCTTCCCCTCTCACCACCTGCTTCTCAGTATCAGCGGACTACTACAGAGAGAGAGTTGTGACATGAGACTTGACGACATTGGATCCAGACTCGACATTGGGATTCAGACATTTTGACGAGGGACTATTTGGGCCTGTGCTGAACACTTGGTGTTGACGACATTCCCATCTTCCCTTCTTCTTCGTCTAACCCCACCTCCTTCGTCTGTGTATGGTTGGGGCTGGCGCAGTCTTCTTGTGTGAAGCGCCAGACCCCTTCGCACCATGATGATGATGATGTATGTTCGGGGCTGCATTACAATATTGATTGTTCGGATCATTGGTATCTAAGTCTTCCGCTGTGCTATCTTATACTTTGTATTGAAAGGTCGGTTCTTGTTCTGGTCTGCACCTATGCGGTATGCAACAGGAATGCTGACGTCAAGCGACATCAAGAAGAACTGAGGGAGGGGTAGATTTCAGGTGATAAGTTCAGGAACAGTTCCACTTTGCAAACAGCCATGCAAATGATTCTATTCTCATTTTGATTAATTAGATGTACAACCATTAACACATCTGACAGATAACATAGGTAGAACTTACTGTTCCTTCCTATCTGCTTTCTGTTTGCGAACAAGTCAAAAGAAATAGCTTTGTTTGTAGGAATCTGGACTTACCTGTTGAACCCAATTGTGTATCCTTTGACAATGCCACTGATTATTTATTTTTATTATTTTAAATCATTCTGAACACTACGCTGCGGGAGGCAACCGAGTGTACCCTAGTGCAGAGCGTACAGTGCTGTAACATATGAGCGATAGGGAGGAGCAGGACGATCGGATCCTGCGTTCGTCAAGCTGTAGTCGCCCGTTGGTCCACGTAGCGTTAGGACCCGAGGGTAACCGTCTTCTGTTCCGCCAGCTTAGGGAGAGGCAGCAGCAGCAACGGAGGGCGAGGGACGGAGAGGCAAAAGAGCTTTCGTAAGCGAGGCAGCTACCTCAGCAGCCAACATGGCCACCGCTGCGCAGCAGAGTTCCCAGGCCAATAGTTCAGGGACTGGCGGGGCAACGGTCGCACAGACCCTGAGTCAGTCCGCTAGCGTTATGGCAAGCCAACAAAGAGTGTTAACTCCCGAGGAGGTTGCCATCCAGCGAGCAAGCGCTCGCGAGGCACAGCTACAGCAGGTATTAAACTAGATACAGGCAGAGAAAGAGAGAATGCTCAGACGTAAGCTGTAATGACCCGTCATAACACAGACTGAGAACACTGCTGATTTCTGAAGTTCTGCCGATGGAATGGATGCCTTGATGAGATTTCCGCATTCTGCTGTGTTTTCTAAGTCTGTCTGTGTGTGTGCGTGCTTGTGACCTGCATGCCTGTCTGAGTGCTTGTTGGTAGGAGTGTGTGTGGGACCCGCAAGGGTACTTGCTTGTTTGGTAGGCCCGTAGGGCCGGTACTTACCTGTGGCCGTGGCATTGAGGGTAGTAGCAGGGAAAACACTCAAGTGGCGAAGCTAGCGGCCCTGAGGCCCTTGGGGTAGCGGAAAAACACTCAAAGTAGGCCGGTAGGCCGATACTGCACCCCACTGCAGTTGACGTGAGGGGTACTGGAGGCCGAGCAGAAAAAGACAAAGTTGGCATTTTTAGAGTCCAGTAGCGGTAGGGTAGGTCTAGGCCGGTACCAGTCCAACCAGTCTGAGTCTAGAGCCTGTACGGGTAATATCAGGGTCTGCAATGATGTTTCCCTCCGAAACGGACGAGGTATCGGTTGCTTGGAGAGGCCGAGCGGCCTGGAAGTCACCGCCCAAGAGGCAAGTAGGCGGCTATATCTAGAGGCGGAGGCAAGAGCTCCGCCTCATTCTTCAGTGTGCGAGTTGGGCGTCACGCTGCTGGAGCGCTAGGTGGAGGAGCGCTGGGCTCTACAGCGCTGCTGGGAGGAAGAAGCCGGGAGCTTCCACCTTGGCTATGGTGGAGCTCAGCCGGTAGGAGGAGGAGGGAGAAGGGGACCAAGGRGGAGAGTGGTAGGGTACTTACCTGGCTATGGTAGACACCATCTTCATCTCCTTGCTAGGCGCTGCATCAGGAAGGCCCCAGTGGGTGTAGTGCAGCATCAAGGAAGCTAGGACAGAGTCAGGCATGGCGGTTGAGTGGGCAGCGGTATAGCTGATGGGTGATGACCTTGAAGAAAGGCCGCGGTGTTGTCCTTTGTACCGGAGGTTGAGACCTCAATAGTCCGCCATAGCCTCGACCTCTATGTGGAGGAAGAAGAAGGGCTGCCATGGCTATGGTGGACCTCATCTTGTGCCTGCAGTAGAAGTGGGATTCGGACATTGATTCTGGTTCAGCTGTTCAACATTATTATTGTTTATTTATTGTTTGAATAAGAGAGGAGGAGATAAAGAGGAGGAGGTTGTTGAGCGAAGAAGAAGAGCTTTGTCTTTGGTCAATGCTGGAGTACATCTCTTTCTTCTTTCTTAATTCTCCTTCTTCTTCTTTCCCTCTCTTTCCTCTCAAGTTCTTTCATTTCTTTTGCAATTGGACGGCATTGGGCTCAAGTTCATTCATTTCTTTTCGCAATTGGACAACATTGTACTTTCTGATGATTGTGGACTTCGAAATTGGCCAGGATCGTAACAAAGCGTACATTAGGGAGTTAGAGGAGATGGACCTGACCAACATGGATGACGATGTGAGGACCGGTAGGACAGCCCTGCTAGATGTAGTGGAGATGCAGGACTACCATACGTCTCTCTTGCAAGACATTCAGAGGATCCTGGCCGTGCTGGTCGGGCAAGTTCAGGTCGCACCATCACCATCTGGGCCAGGTGCATGGCCCAGCCTCCTCCTTTTGTCCCATCGGTAACTGGAGTAGTCCCATTCACAATTTCTCCAGCTACGGTAAAGACCGCTTCCCATCTGGGTATGCCTTTTGACAGGCGGGTTTTCAGCAGGTTCTGTTGTACAGATTCCTGTCCAGACAGTGTACTCACAACCTCCGTTGCACACTGTCATAACAGGGCAGCTTGCCGTCTCGCAGCCAGCACAGCTGCAGCCTGCAGGGCACACAGCCCCAACAGCAGCCAGTGCAGCAGCGTGCACCCCACGCCCCACAGCCTGGAGTGGTGCACGCACCGAGACAAGGACAGTGGGTTCCCAAGACTGCCATCGCATCATTGAAACCCTTCTCAGGAGATAAGAAGGGTGAAGACCTTGACACCTGTTGAGGTCGGTGCCAGTCTATGTGAAGTGCAAGTTAACCTTGCCTCACGAGGAAGTGCTTGTGGATGCCTCCTATCTGGAGGGGAGTGCAGCAAGGTGGTTAAGTGAGTACGTGCAGTTACAGGGGTACGGTCATGACTTCCGTGCTTGGGCGGTCACCCAGAAATTGGATGATTTCCTCAAGCTGGTGGAAGACAGGTGGCACGACCGGCAGGAGGCTCAAAAGGCCACCGATGGGACATTGACCTTGAGCTCAAGGAAGTTCAGGTCAGTGAGGGATGCCATGGATGCGGTTGAGCGTCTGATCTGTGTTCCTGGAGTGCGCTACGACCCCCAGGTCTTACTTACCACTTACCTGAGGTGTCTCCCCATCGAGCGCAAGAATCAGTTGGTAGGTGAGGCTATAATCACAGTCCACAACTTCCCTTCGTTCAGCAAGGGCCCTAGATCGGTAGCGCAGAAGCTTCAGGGGGTGGAGCAGTCACTGCCTCAGTTCAAAAAGGTAAGGCGACTGGTAGACGCCGTGGAGGTTCCTGGTCGAGGAGTCAAGTAGACCCCAATGCTCCTCCATGGGAGAAAGCGGGGCTTACGGAGGACATGTGGAGAGATCGTTACTCCCATGCAACTTGTATTCGCTGTGGCCAATATGGTCATAACCAGTTCAAGTGCCGGAATAGGAAAGCTCATCCGTATGCATTTACTAGTAGTACAAAGTGTGTGTGTGTGTTTTGTGGCTATCTGTGTCTTTTTTCTTTGGCTATGTGTGTTAGTGCCATCCATGCCACATAGTATGACCCAACCCACAAGGTACCGCCCAGTCCACATGATACCTCCCAGCCCGCATAGGATCACCATGCCACATAATGCCGCCCAGCCCACATTGAGCTGTGGCCTTGCCGAAGGCTGAGTTGTGCCAGCTCACATAGTATCACGATGCCACATGATGCCGCCCAGCCCACATAGAACTGTGTGGCCGTGTCAAGGGCTGAGTTGTGCCTAGCTTTGGCCATGTGTTTTTTTCCCTTTATTTTGTTTGGCTTGGTCAGGATCAGGAGGAGCAGATGCAGCGACCATCCGCTTGTTTCTACTTCAGATTTCACGACGAATGTTGGGGTGACCCTCAGCTAAAAGTTGTTTCGTTTGCAATTCTGCATCACTTCCATCACACAGTTTTTTCTCTTTTTCTTTTTTTTTTCGAGCTGGGGCTGTCTGGGACCTTGTCCGGGACTTTGCCCAGACCTGGCCTGGCCGGGCCACCTGGGCCAGTCAGAGACAACCAGCGCGGCCTGGCTGGAAGCCCAGCATACACAATCAGTGTGGGAAATGGAAAAGCAAACAAGTAACTGATTTCATTTTTACGATCCAATTAACTAGATAGAAGATACTCAGAAGCCGTCTGTTTCCCTTCAAATATGAATGTCTGAATCTTTTTCACTCTTCTTTTTCTTTCACGTCGAGGCTGCAGCTATGCTCATGTGCTCATGTTCTTTTCTATCCTTGCCGGTTGTAGTGCAGGACCTCTGTAAGATGAAACTTGCTAACCAAACCTGTCAGAAATGGCTTTGATAGATTATGTCACATCGTACAGGACTTATTAGGGCAATTACTTACAGGCCTGCTGAGCTTTTTTATTCCACCATTCCGCTTTCCCCTAGTTTGCTTTGCAGCTTGTTGTTTTCCTGTTGCTTCTTCATTTTCCTTCCCCTTCGCTGCTCCACGGGACTCTGCCAAAACCTGTTCCAGTCCCAAACAAAGAAGGCGGTGGTCAGGCAAAAATGCTTGCAGCAGCATGGAGAAGAAGTTGAAGAACTCTTCCATCTGCAGACTGTGAGAGTCAACTAGAAGGTATCGTTAACCAGGAGCAACAAGCAAGGGCACAAGGTGGAGACAGAAAAGTTGAGAAAACAAACTTACGAAAGGGAAAATTTGTAGGATGAAGCTCAAAGATGCTGTGTTTTATAAGAAGCCCGCCAAAGTTGAGTCTTCGGCGAATGCCTTAATTTCGACTGCTTGTCAGAAGGCATTCGCCGTGGGTAGGCAGAACAAGGTAAACGGAAATGCAAGGGGGCTATTTAAATAGAACCAGGTGAAGTAAGGGGTAAGACAGGTATTACATGCTGCGCCTGCAACAGGCTGCACGGGCCACTTTCAGGCCCGTGACGTTCTCAGGCCAAAAGCCTGAAAACAAGGGCCTACAGGCCCCGTGCCGTTTCAGCCTGAAAGCCTGAAAACAAGGGCCTACAGGCCCTGTGTCGTTTCAGCCTAAATCATTGCCTTTCCGGCCCTGAGTCTTTTCAGCCTGAAACTGAGGGCCATGCCATTTTGGGCCTGTTTTTAAGACAACCCCTGAGCTTCAACGCCAGGGTCTGGCACGTTTCGGCATTGGCAAGAGCAGTGTGGCATACTGCGTAGCCACACGGGCCCTGCAGGGCCCGTCCCGGACATTCAGCCTAAAAGCCTAAAACTTAGGGCTTACAGGCCCCGTTCGTTTCAGCCTGAAAGCTGAAAAACGAGGGCCTGCAGGCCCTACCCCGTTTCAGCCTGAAAGCTGAAAAACGAGGGCCTGCAGGCCCTACCCCGTTTCAGCCTATTTCTGGGTCTTTTCAGACCCAGAGTTTTCAGCCTGAAACGGAGGGCCATTTTCAGGCCCTCATTATTTCGACCTGCCCCTAAGACTCAGGCACGTAAACAGGGGTGCGGAACAGGCCAGAAATAGCCTGTTCATCACGAGTTTGAGCAGGAGCTGCAGCTGCAGCCCCTGCCTCCCTTCGGCAGGCTCAGGAGGCACACCCGGTAGTACATAGGAAGTTCCCATGCACTTCACGGGTAGGTAGTTCAGTACGCACGAGGTAGTCTTCAGGATTTCGGCCGCAGCACTCAGGAGGAGCGCTGCAGTAGTCTTCAGCGCTAGGTGGTATTAGCGCTAGCTGTAGTCTTCGGCGCTGGGCGCCATAGCTGTAGCTGTAGTCTTCAGCGCTGGGCGCTGGTAGGTGGTAGATCGTAGAGTGGGAGAGAGAGACTGGCGGAGGCCAGTGGTACTTACCTGTGGCGCCATCGCTCCAGCTCCATCTTCGTGGTACCTGCATCAAGACGCCAACTTCACAGGTTAGTACTGGACACAGAGAGAGATAGAGTTCTTCTTCTTCCTCTTCTAAGTCCACCTTCTCTTCTCACCCTCTCGCCACCTGACTTCTCAGACTACGACAGAGAGAGAAAGAGTTGTGACTTGAGACTTGACGACATTGGATCCAGACTTGACATT